GGGGGGGCATGAGGGTTTCTCAAAAATCAAAAAGGGGGCATGATGCTGAAAAGTTTGGGAACCACTGTTCTAACGTATTAAAACAAGATACCTGTGTCTAATTACTGTGAAGTACCCTTAATGACCACAAAGGTGATGTACAAAGGTAGGGAATTAGCTTTCTTCCACTAGAGTAGAAGCCAACAAATGTAGACGGATGCATGTTTCAAAGAGCTTGCCTTGCAAATAAGGTTTCATCCTACAAAACTAGCATCGTACCTAGTACTTGCTACTTTTGACTCATAAGAGCCAGAACTGTACCATATAGCAAAGATCTGGCCTTAATGCAATACAGTTTACCATGTATTAATTAGTAACACAAGATTTTAAAAAATCATTAAGAACAGAGTTTGATATCTGTAACACTCCAAAAATATTCTGTTAAAAGAATATTTTTCTTTCCTTTCTTAAGCCATTAACACCTATGTAAACTTTGTTTGAAATGTAATCATGCAAATGTCCTCCTGGCACCCCCCCTCCCCCCCCCATTCAGCCTTCCTTTTTCCCATCCTTCCAACCCAGACAGATACACAGTACTACAGCGAGTCAGGAGACCCCAAACAAACTGCCCCCTTTTTCCCCTTCACTGCACAGATGCCAGCACCCAACCATCCCCTCTTTTCCCCCACCGAGCCCAGGCAGTCAGCCCCTTACCTCCCCGATCCCGGGCCAGGAGGGTTGAAGAGACTGCTGGGTTTCTGTCTCTGTCTGTCTCTCCTTGGGCAGATGGGACTCTCCACACTACCCCAATGACTTCCTCCCCAGCCAATTAATTAATTACTAACTCATCCCAACCATTTATTCCCTCCTTATCTTGCCTGTTTATCTCACCTGCTTATCTGCTATGGGAGCTCTTCAGTTCAAGCAGCGCAGCTCTGTTTAGCAGCTGCTTAGCTAGACACCCTGCCTCCTGCCAATCAGCTGAGCTCCCTACCTATGTGGGAACTTTGAACTTCTGAGCAGAGCTCAGAAAATAGCTATATGGTCAAGCAGCTTAGAGGAACCTTAGCCCTGAACAGGTTACAGCCCAGGTTACAGGCAGGACCCAGGTTATAGGGACGGTGGGGCTTTGGCTCTGCCCATCCACACTTAGGGCAGCGGAGGCTTGGCTTCCTCTCCTGAAGTCATGTAGTTACTTCTGTTCTGAGAATGGGGTCACAGTGCAATGAAGTTTGAGAATCCCTGAATTAGTTTGTAAGAACAGTTGATTTTCACTCTAATTAGCTATTTTTTACACACCAATTAATATTGGTATTATATAATATTGGAATTCATATTGGATGCATTTCATAAAACAAATCTGCCTGCTGTAATTTTTGGTGTAAAAGTGTGTGGGGTAGTGTTTTACTTAGATTAGGAAAATACTAATCATAGATTACCACTTTGCTTTTGCTGGGGATGAGGGAACATCTGTAACTGATGCCCATGCTACTTCAGTTTGGAGTTAGAATATATTTTGAGTTTGAGAGGGAATTGAAGAAATAAGCTTATACAGTACTTTACATGATTTAGTATAAACTGCCAAGTATAAATAGATTGTAGGCAAGTGAAATCATTTAGAGTAAGGAGAGCCGTATTACAGTTACTAGTGAAGAGTACCTTACTGTTCTGTTATGTAGGAAGCCAGACTAGATCAAACATTTTTTCTCATGACCCAGTTGTAGAAAATTGTTGATGCCTGCAACACACCATATTTTGAATAGAGTGTGGGCTCTGGGGTAGGGTGGAGAATAAGAGCTTTGGGGCATAGGAAAGGGCACCATTTTTGGGGGAGGTTCAGGGCAGGGGCAGGAGGGGTTTACCTTTAGGTCCTGGTCAGCGATGCAGCGGGGGTTGCTGAGGCAGGTTTCCTGCCTCTCTTAGCACTGCAGACCATGCTGCACCCCAGAAGCAGCCTGCGGCAGTGTCCTAGCCAATGGGAGTGTGAAGCTAGTGCTCAGGGTAAGATCTGGGGGGGTGGAGCCCTGTGTGCTCTCCTTCCCACCCCCCACCTAGGAGCAGAGCCTGCTGAGCAGTTTATGGTGCCAGGATAGGCAGGTAGCCTGCCTTAGCACCCCCCACTAGTTACCTGATCACCCTGAAGCAATGAGATCCAGTGCCTGACATTCCACAACCCAGTACTGTGGCGTGGGGAACCTGGATACAGCCCCTCAGACTCAGGTGAATCCTCCAGCATGAAGAATGGCCATATTGGGTGAGATGAAAGGTCCATCTAGTCCAGTATCCTGTCTTCCAACATAGGCCAATACCAGATGCCCCAGAGGGAGTGAACAGAAACAGGTAATCAAGTGATCCCTTTCCTGTCATCCATTTCCAGCCCCTAACAAACAGAGGCTAGGGATACCATTACTACCCATTTTGGCTAATAAGCATTGATGGACCTAACCTTCATGAATTTATCTAGTTCTTTTTTGAATCTCGTACATCCTCTGGCAAGAAGTTCCATAGGTTGACTGTGTGCTGCATGAACAAAAACTTCCTTTTGTTTGTTTTTAAACCTGCTACCTATTAATTTCATTTGGTGACCTCTAGTTCTTGTATTATAGGAATGAGCAGGGCTTGACAAATAATGCAATCTACTCACCTATGGCAAGTAGATTACAGCCCGGAAGAGCCAGGTTCGGGCGATTTGCGCATGCACAGATCGCCAGACAGTGTGGCTGGCGAGTGGGGCTTGCTGCAATTTGGCAAGCCTGGGAATGAGTAAATGTTTTTTTATTCACTTTCTCCATATCTGTCATAGTTTTACAGACCCCTATCATATCCCCACTGTCTCCTCTTTTCTAAGCTGAAAAGTTTTAGTTTTTTAATCTCTCTTCATATGGCACCCGTTCTAAACCCCTAATCATTTTTGTTGCCCTTTTCTGAACCTTTTCCAATGCCAATATATGTTTTTTGAGATGAGGTGATCACATCTGTAAGCAGTATTCAAGATTTGGGCATACCATGGATAGAAAATTGGGGAGCCCGTGCCGGCACTCCGGTCCTCTTGCTGCTCCACTGTGGGCTGGAGCGCACACAATCTACTAGTCTAGGCCCCACCTGATGTGGAATGTGGGACGTGTCTTTCTCTTTCTCAGTTGGGACCATGGAGATGAGGGTTGTTTGTTTGTTTGTTTTTTCTCACTTGTGTGCAGCCCCTGACTGATTTTTCTGTGGGACAGTGGCCCCCAATCCCAAAAAAGGTTCCCCATGCCTGCAGTACAGGATCACGACCCTAAGTTTGAAAACCACCAGACTAAATGATCAAAATGGTCCTTTCTGGCATAAAAATACTATGCATTTATATGACATCTTAGTCTAACAGTCTCAAGACTTGGCATTTTATTTTTGCTATAAATTGCAAAAATATCGTGGCTTTTGCATTTGTGTATTTGCTGAGGTGTTCATGTTGATTTGATCTAAATTTTGTGTTCTGAATAGAATAGACTATATGCAAGATGCACCTGTTTTTAAACGTGAAAAGAGGTAAAAAATTATTTAAAGCCAATCGAAGAAAGGAAATGTAAGAAGCAGAACATAAAAGATATACACAAAACTAAGTTTTAATGATTAAGGTTGCAAAATCAAGCACTTAAAGATGATTTTTTTTAAGCTTAAGATTCCTTGTACAGCTTGAGTTTGTTCCCCTTGTGCATAAGCATTATTATCTTTTAATTATATGGTCACATACTGTTTTTCTCTATAGTGTATCTACTTCAGCCAGTGCAAAGAATAGATGGTATTCATTTAAACCTTGCTCTGTAAACAGAATTATTAATTTTTGTGGGTTTTTCTGGGGTGCTTATTATTAATGTGTCTCAATGCTTCACAAATTCATTTATTTTCACAACAGTTTTTGTGGGTTTTTCTGGGGTGCTTATTGTTAATGTGTCTGAATGCTTCACAAATTAATTTATTTTCACAACACACCTTGAGATGAGAAGGTAGTATTAATAAGGGTGTTAAAATTTAGTTAAGTAAATGTGTAACCACTGCAAGTATCAGCAGTTACACGCTGCAGGCTCTAGAGTATAAAACTTAAATAAGCTTATACTGCAGAGCCTACAGCAAAGCCTCCCTGGAAGCTGGGCAGAGAAGCCTCCACCCCAGGAGTCAGGCTGGCAGCCCTAATCTGCCCAGCTTCTGTAGATAAGGATTTGATGCCCTGCCTGGGAGCTGGCTGAATGTAACTGACACCATTAACTGCTTATCAGTTAAACGGTTAGTCGGTTACACTCTAACTTCCCTACTTATTAACATCCCCTATTTTACAGATGGAAAGCTGAGGCACGGAGATTGTTTACAAGCGTACACTAATGTTGAATTTGAGACTCCTAGGATAAGATTTTTCAGAGTACTTAGCATTATACAGCTCTTTATATGTTCAAAGCACAGCTCCTGTTGGCTTTGGTTGCAGCTGTGAGTATGCAGCAATTAAGAAAATCAGATGTAGAATGTCAAGTCAGGCAATCAAAAAAGAGAAACACACAATTAGTGACAGTCTCTGACAAGCTTGGGCTTCAACTTCTGAAAGAACATGCTGTTTTGGCTATATTAATAATTTCTGGCAATGCATTTTCCCGTGCTTTCATTCTTGGAAACGGCTGTAAACTGAATTGGCTGAAGTTTTCCAAAATGATTCCTCCTGAGGCAGGTGCCTAATGTGAGCATTTTCTGCCTGTGTTGCAGTTTTATAAGCAACTGAAAACAGAGGTGTATAATGGAAAGTTTCAGGCAACTTAAAAGGTGCTACCAGCTCAGATACAATTATTTAGAAATATAGTACATCATACTGTAAATTGGTCTTCATATTTGATTTTTTTCTATTACAATGCACTTTTTTCTTCTTTTTGGGGAAAAACAATATTTCTAGAACTTGTTTCTCTGAATGTCTTGAGGTTATTCGGTGTTCCCTTTTTAAGTTCTTGAAAATCCATTACATTGCTGATATTACCTACTGCAGGGTGTTGATACTGCAATTTATGAAATGTTTTGCCCTATTGATTGTGCTATCAGTAAAACTTGTGCCAATGCTGATTGACAATTGAATATCTCAAAACACATTGACCTTTAAACTCATCACTTTTGCTACCTCTGTTCATAAGTGTGGTAAAATTCAGTCATTTATTAAGATAGGCTGTTGAAAATGACCAACTGAAAAAAGTAGTTCTTCATATTGGAAGAACTTTCATCAAAACAAAACCATTCTAGAGCACAGACTTAAGCTATTTAAATGCACTATTTAATGGATGTTATTTAGTATGGCAACTTCATAGGTAATCATACTAAATTATCAAGAACAAAGGAACCTTTAAAATGACTTGCAGTCTGAAGTTAAAATGTCGCTCCTATATCTTGGCCTGTTTTTGAATGTTACATTTCATTTTTACTTCAAATATTTTGCATATATTTTATTTGGCTTAATATATATATGTTTCTGATTTTTATATAAAATATGTCTTGCAGGACTGTATAGAAGTACGTATAAAGAGCACAAAGGGACCCATTGATGTATATTTATGTGAAGTGGAGCAAGATAACCTAGGTGCCAAAACGTTTGAAGATATGGATACCCTGACATCAGAAACTAAATGAGCAGAGCCTCTTGATGAAGGTATGTGAGATTTAAATGAAAGAATGGTATTTATCAGTATAAGACAAATCACAGTGAAATATGTATTAAATCGTTATGACAAACTGAATTGGATAAACACTTTTATACGCTCTGAAACTCCTCTACCATTATGGCCCCACCTTCCATTCATAAGCAATCACATATGCTCTGACACTAGCAGCGCCAGTGCAGATACAGACCATCACACCAATCTTTACAGTACCGCTGTCTCTTACCACACAAGGATCTAGCCCTTGCTTTGGTACCTGGAACTCAGTTTTCAATACCAATGGTACCCCGATCCATCTAGGTCTGAGTCAGCTGCCTGGAGTGCCCAGTACAGACAGTGATTATTGATAGTGTGGAGAAGGAATGACCTCCTTTTTCCTTCATTACAGGAGAAATGTGGTGTGGAGCTATTTCCAGGTCTCCACCAATGGCAATGTCTGCTGCATGGCCCTGCTGGGACCCATGTCATATTACAGAGCACAAAACCCCATGATTTGTAAACCTCCTTTATCTTGTGCCCAACCACCATCTGAATCCCAAAAAGATGACTTGGGGATGCTCTGGAAGGGGGACCCTGTGCTACTCACATTTAGTCTCATCCCTGGATGAGACTATCATGCTTCCATGACTGGGGATTTTAAGTCCCTTCAGGAGAGTAGCAGATTCCCTGGACATCTCTATGGAGGAATTACTAGGGACTCAGCATAAATTGATAGACATACTGCAAACGTCACCCTCCACAAAGATTGCTCTGCTAATTAACCCTGATATTATGAACTTGACAAAAGTAATAAGGCAGTAAGCCAAAGTAATGAGGCAGCCACTAGCCACCATTCTGCCCTCTTCCACATGGGTGAACAGAAAGTATTTCCAGCTCAAAAAGATCATGGAAACTACACTTCAAAGTGGTAATATTGGTGACTATAATTCCAGCATTACAAAAAGGAAATGGGCTGGATGTATATTTCCATATTACAATCCACTCTATACCCAGGACATTCCTCAGCTTCACCCTGCAAAATAATCAGCATCAATACCAGGTACTACCTATTGACCTAGTCATAGGACCATCAATTTTTTTCACCTCCATAGTCCAAGATTATGATATTCCCATGCCTGGATGATTGTATCATAAGAGTATCATCTCTACAGAAGGCGCTAAGAGCTACCAACCTCACAGTAAATGTACTTGCCGTGTTAGAATTCCACATAAATTACCAAAAGCAAATCTGACCCGCCAACCCAACAATTAAAACTTATAGGGTCTCATCTTGACTGTCTGCAAGTAAAACCAAAACTTTCCCAACTCTGCTTTTACATCCTAATCCAGTCGATAATAACCATCATACACCATCCACAGGTTTCAGCCAGACAATGCTTGTAACTCTTCAGATATATGGCCACAACCATGTTCGTATTAAAACATGCCAGGCTACATATGCAATGTCTACAAAGATGGCTTTAAACTTGTTATGTACCTCACGTTACTCCCTGAAAAAAAATTCTCAGCAAGGTCAAGCACTCCCTTCAGTGGGTGGCTTCAGCTGCAAAAGGTATGCCTCAAATCATGTGGTCGGTATCAAGCAGCGTGTCCCAAAGGGCTGCTTTTGTTCAACATCTTTATTAATGACCTGGATGAGTGGATGGATTGCACCCTCATCAAGTTCACAGATGACACTAAGCTCAGGGGAGAGGTAGATACTTTAGAAGGTAGGGATAGGGTCCAGAGTGACCTAGACAAATTAGAGGCTTGGCCAAAAGAAATTTGATGAGGTTCAATGAGGACAAGTGCAGAGATCTGCACTAACTCCGTGGAACACAGGACCTGTTTCCTTACCATCTGTATCAAAGCAGCTTTAAGAGGCAACGTTAGTCTGAAGCATCATCAGTAAGTTTCCTTACACAAGTGTATAAACATTTACCATAAGAAACTATATCTCTCTAGAAGTGTAAAGTCTTTTATGAAAGCCATGAATATTCAAGTAGTTCTCAATGGGTGATATGTAATCAGGGATTAAAATAAGAGAGAACAGGGAGGAATATAAGAACATAAGACCGGCCATACTGGGTCATACTAAAGGTCCATTTAGCCCAGCATCCTGTCTGCTGACAGTGGGCAATACCACATGCCCCAGAAGGAGGGAACACAACAGGTAATCATCATGTGATTCCCTCTCCTGTCACCTACTTCCAGACACAGCTAGGGACACCATTCCTACCCTTCCTGGCTAATAGCCATTGATGGACTTAACCTCTGTGAATCTATCTAGCTTTTTTTTTTTAAACCCTGTTAAAGTCCTAGCCTTCACAATACCCTCTGAAAAGGAGTTCCATAGGTTGACTATGCACTGACTGGAGAGAAACTTCTTTTTGTTTGTTTTAAACCTGCTGCCTATTAATATAATTTGCTGACCCCTAGTTCTCATATTGTGGGGAAAAAGTAAATAACTTTTCTTATTCACTTTTTCCACACCAATCCTGATTTTACAGATCTCTATCATACACCCCCTTAGTCTCCTCTTTTTTAAGCTTAAAAAGACTTGGACTTTTCATCTTTCTTCATATGGGACCCATTCAAAACCCCAATCATTTTTGTCGCCCTTTTCTGAAATTTTTCCAATGCTAAGGGTGTGGATGCATTGGAGGGCAACAAAAATGATTAGGGGGCTGGAACACATGACTTAATCAGCTAATAGAATAGTCAGTAAGGAGTGCCCCACCCTCCCCTTCTCAGCTGCGCCTCTTTTTAAATGTAGCAAGAGCCGCAGAGTGCCCCACCCTCCCCTTCTCAGCTGCGCCTCTTCTTTTTAAATGTAGCAAGAGCCGCAAGCATCTCTTTTTACATTTCAAAGGCAGAGGCACAGCAGTTGGACCAGCTCGAGTGGGGACTGCTTCAGTCCCCACTCAGACCGTTCCCCCTGCGCCTCTGCCTCCCCTGCCACCGCCCTGTGGAGATGGTGCTGGGGAGAACTGGCTTTTAAGCCAGCTCCCCCCAGCACCAGCTTCTGCCCTGTTCCTTGCTGCCTCTGACACAGAGGCATCAAAGAGTGGGGAAAGCAACTAGTCGACTTGACTACTCGATAAGCCTAGGCTTATCAAGTAGCAGACTAGTTGTTTACATCCCTGCTCACCTGGTGCAGTAACTGAAGTTGTCCCTTTGGATGCTCCATGACTCCATCCTCTCCTCTGCTTCAGAGGGAAAAGTAACATGCTCATTGTAGAGAAGGAACTGAGGAATGGTTGTCTGCATGCAACAGTTAATCCGGGGATGAGCTAGATATGGCCTGCTAGCCAAATCCAGTTCACCAAGCATCCGGATCCAGCCCATGCGCCACCCTGATGGGACCCTGACACACGGAGCAGCCAGCCACTTCAGAGCAGCCCCACACAGTTACCTTCTGTGGCTTTCTGCTTTGGACACCTTTGGGAAGGAGAGGATTTGCTTGCTGCCCCTCGCTCCCCTCCCCCAGCAGAATCTCTCAGCTCCCATTGACTGAAAACTGGCTAATTGGAGCATAGAGATTTTTGCTGGGAGGTAGGGGGTAGTAAAGCTTCCCCTTGCCCCAGGCACCCCGAGCAAAGAGCTTCAGGGAGCAGCTAGCCAATTTAAGCAGCCTGAGATTGTGGGCAGGCAGGGGGCCTGCCTCAGGGTCTACCAGGGCTTTGGGGGGGGGTTCCTCCCCTGCCACAGGCAACCCAGCTCCTCCCTCTCCCCAGTTCTCTATCCCAGGCCAGCATCTCTTCTGCTCCAGGTCATCACCTAAACTAGTGTTTCTTAAACTGTGTTCCATGGGACACCGGTGTGTCATGAAGAACAGAGTTCAAAATGGCCACCCTTAAAGGGACAGGCGACTTTTTTCCCCCTCAATTATCCCCTCAACCCTATTTTTATTTTTGCTCAATAACTTTTCCCTGGCCTGTTTCTTAAACTGTGTTCCATGGGACACGGGTGTGTCGTGAAGAACAGAGTTCAAAATGGCCACCCTTAAAGGGATAGGCGACTTTTTTCCCCCTCAATTATCCCCTCATTTTACTGTTGTTTTTGTTTTTTTTTGCTTGAGAAAAGAAAAAGAAAAAGAAAAAGAAAAAGAAAAAACAAAACACCCTTGGTGTCTCCCATAAAAAAAAATTATTGTTTGGTGTTCTTCAGTCTTAAAAAGTTTAAGAAACACTGACCTAAGCCCTCTGCCACCCCTCTCCTGCAGGTTACAACTGCCTCCCAGAACTTGCTGCTCCTCCTGTTTGCAAATTTGGCACACATTCATTAGTTTTGTCCCAAAAAAAGCCTTGGGTTAGATTTGCAAAGGAACTTCGGTCCCATTCAGAAAACATCTAGCAGTGGAATCCCCTTATAACATTTAGCCCAGTGCTTAGGGCACATAACAGCATTGTGGAGGACCTAGGTTCAGTTATTTCTACTGCTTGACATGGAGCAGGGATTTGGATTGCGTCCACTACCTTAAAGAATCATGCCTTAACTGCCAAACTATAAAGTGTTCTGAGGCAAGTCTCTTAATTTTTGCTGAAGCCGTTCTACTTATGTATAAAATACTTGAGTATTTGAACCAGAGTGAAAGTGTACATAGCCTGGTGATGAGAACCAGAGTGAAAGTGTACATAGCCTGGTCATGAGAGGCTTCTCCTCCTCCTCCTTCTCCCCCTCTTCTTGATGTTTAGTGAATCTAGCACTTTAATATGCTGGAAACCAAACATTTTGGGTCACACATGTTTTGTTCATCCCAGAATGGACTTCTTGATTTGCTGAAACTTTTTAAAATCTTTGGATTCATTTTGATTCAAACGACTTATATACATAACTCTGGCTGAACTGAAAAAAATCAATTTGCTTTGTTCTACTTGTTATATATACATTTTTTTACTTTGTGTAAGACTCTCTTTTATAATCTGGTGCCCAGCTGTTCTGAAATTAGAATCTTACACAGGTTGCAAAACAGGAAAACTTGATAACTAACCTAAAAGCTCACTTCAAGTAAGAGCTGATTCTTCTGTTTTCATCAGAAGAGATGCAAGTTGATTACCAGTCATAGATACAGGTCATTGCTGTCAGGAAGCAAACAGAGCAGGATATGTAGTTTGATGGACACTGAGGTAGTAGTTAAGGCATCTTATTTTTGGCAATGCTATTTGAAAAGTCGTAGTTGCCCTTTTCCCTGATACACATCTTTTGTGTTTGTGCCAGTTGTGGAATAGCAGCGTGATGATGTGATGATCAGTTTCTGACCGTCTTTATATTGGTATAATCCTAGCACAGTAGTTAGCTATTTCCTTATAAAGTATCTCCTGTGTTTAAAGGCGCTAATCCTAAACAAGTGAGTTGTTAGCTCTTTCCAAAAGTCAGTTTAAAGAGATCATGGATTGGTTAACTTGTAATATGTAGTTATAGAAAGTTAACTGCTTTCTATAGGACGTGAAAATATTTTTAAAAATAAAGGACTCCAGGATTTCTGTAACTATGGTGGGTGTAAAACTGAAGATGATTTGTTCCTGTTTACTTGGCACAGCAATACTCCATAAAATTGCTAGTCCAATTTTTTTTTTAAAGTGAGATTCTCAGAATTCTAAAATGCACATCTTTCAACCCAGGGTGGATAAAAATCAATGATTTTTTTTAAAAAAATTAGATGGTTTTTATTTAAATTTGATTTTTTATTTAAAATCAATAAAATACTAATTTTTAAATTTAAAAATAAGTTACAATTAAATCTTATAACAAACATACTATTCCTACTCTTAATATGTAAAAATGAATTACAGGCAGTCCCCGGGTTACGTACAAGATAGGGACTGTAGGTTTGTTCTTAAGTTGAATCTGTATGTAAGTCGGAACTGGCGTCCAGATTGAGCCGCTGCTGAAACTGACCGCCAGTTCCAGGATAAGACAACAATCTTGAGCTAAAAGCTGCACTAAATCTGGCTGGCAGGGAAGGGAGGGGAAAGAGAGGGTTTGGGATCAGAGTTAATGGAAACAACTGAGAGCCCAGGTTAGCTCTGCAGTGAAGAGATACCCTGAGAGTCCAATAGTCTGGCATAGTCTCACTCATGGTTACATGCCCATTTTCTGATTATGTGTGCAAATCAGGCAGCCACATAGCTAACCATCCCACCTGCTTAAGCAAAAATATGGGTTTTACCTGCAATTCATTGGCCGATCTGCAGAGGCTTCACAGTTGACATTGAAAATCTGTCCTGGAATTGAGGGAATCTTTACACACGTTAAGGATCTGATCCCTGTTGTTTAAAGTGTCATAGCTCAGTTGAAATTAATAGACCTATGACAATTTTCACCAGCCGAGGATCTAGCCTTAGGCTCTCACACAGACAGAATATATTACCATAGATAGATATAATGGGGATCTTTAGGGATGTACATTTTAATTTGTCCTTGTTTTGTTGACGGTCCCCAGCAGACCAGGGGCACCGGGAGCAGCTTTTCTCGTCCCGGAGGTCGAGGTGGCGGGACCGCTGCCTGCGAGCTCCGGGGCAAGAGAGCCCCGTTCGTAAGTGCGGATCCGACATAAGTCGGATCCGCGTAAGTCGGGGACTGCCTGTAATGGCTCTAGTCTGTCTAGCAGCCTAACAGCCAGCTCTTGCTTCTAGAAAGTTCTAGGGTTTCAATTTGTTAGTCTGAGAAACATGTGCAAAGACAAACAGAGACAGGATAGGGTAATTTCTTGTTCTGTGCTTATGTGGTGGTGAACCTAGGCCAAACTGGCAGAGTTATTTAAGACATTGTTTAAAGACAGATAATATACAGAAAAGGATGGAGGCAGCTTACAAAGGAACATAGGAGTGGACTGGAAGGAGAAGGGAAAACATTCAGTGTGCACATGCAGCTTCCTATATTCCCCTACACTTTTGCCACAGAAAAACTGTCAAGGCTTGTGGGTGTAAGAGAGACCCCCATCTGGGAATATTTTAATTCAGTTCTTTCCCTAGGTAAAAAAGGAAAACATGTCAGATGTAAGTAGAGCAAGACGATGATGATGCAGGGTCTAGCTGCAAGAATATTATAAGGAAAACTGCTTATTGGGAGAAAATGATGTGAATATGTCTGAAGAACAATTGCAATGCACCATTCTTCAAGACACTGTCTATGCCTTTTAGTACAAGTGTGATTTAACAAGTAAATTCCCAAGCTATTTGCTATGTTGGAAGTTGCTAGGGGGAAAAAAACTTAGGTAATTTTTATGGCTTGTTTAATTAGTTAACTAGGTTTAGAATCTGTCACCCAAATATACAGTACTAAAAGCTGCAGTAAGAAATCTAGAGTTGACAGTTGGCACTGTGTGCCATTTTCTTATTATATATTACAAAATACATGCCTCTTATTTTGGAACACCACACTCTCAGCCCATAATGGTGATGTCATAAGTCTGATTCCCTATTTTACTTCAGCATAACTCAGCTTTTCCAAAGGAACCCCATCCTATACTTGTTTTCACTGGGGCTTATTCCAAAATTCAGTGCACTCTTAAGTACAATCAGACTTAACTTTTTGCTAATTTGGAATCAGAGCTGCATCACAATGACAGTGCAAGTGGGAAAGAAAGCTAGTTGTATGGTGCTCTTAAGACTTCTACATGTCATGTTTTAAGGACTTGTCTGTTTATTTCATATAAATATGAATGTTCCCTGAAAGATAATAAATGTTTTGGTTATCTTTTCTTTACTTCCCTTTTAGATTGAGATTTTGAATCAATTTAAAAGATGAAGAACCATTGGAATGCCAAGTCCTGTACTGATTATGAATATATGCACTGCAGAATTCCCTAAGAAAGACACTTGGAACTATGAACATGCTCAACTTTATAATTCTCTGAAATGTTTTTCAAACTTAAAATGGCAATAATTCAGTTGAGTGCTTTCACACAATTGTCTTCAGTTGCTTCTGTCCAAAAGAAGGCAATGTGAGGAGCCATTTTTAGAAGCATTTTCCTATACACTTGTGCATAATCTGCAGTGTTTTGAGGGACATGGCCTTGTTTTACTGTTTTTTTTTAAATTAAATGTGAGTGATAGTAAATGTGGACAAGAAACTATTTAAAAAAATGAAGATTCTTTAAAGCTGCATCTGGGAACAAAACATCAAAACTTGGTCCTGTGAGACTATAGATAGTAAAGAAATGCACTTTTAATTCTGAAGCTGGAGTTTCACTAAACAGGACTGTTAAATATAATGTAAGAATCCAGAACTGGAGTATTGCAGGGCTTTTCTTACCCATGAGGAATATAAGACAAGTAAACATCATGAAAAATTAAAGCTATGACTTACACTGTGCAGATGCTGATTACTACATCCAACTCAGCAAGTAACAATGGTGTGAACAATGAAGTTAAAAACAGTGGCCTCTATGTAAATATTTGTATCATGTATAGATTAACAAAATGAATTGCACTTCTGCCTTTGTACAGCAAAAACTGAAATAAACTTGTAAATATGAAAAGTGATCAGTCTAACGGTGTTTAATTGGACTTCACTTGGCTTTCCCTTTCAACAGTAGAAATTAATTAGGTGACTTATGAACAGTATGAAACTTATGTAAAACTATTATTTGTAAATTAGACAAGCATAATATATTGAAACATTTTCATTTACAAGCACTCCAACTCCTAAAACTAAATGTTATAGTATTGAGGGATCTTGACAGCACTATGTACCCAGTTATCAATGTGTAAATCTGTTATTAATGGTTGCTACCTATGTCTTGAACTTAACTGCAACACAGTGCTTTGAAATAGTAGAGCAGTCTTTTCATAACTTTTACCAAACCTGCCTAATTTGGAACTGTTCTCTCAGCTGTAACTCCAGTTTATCTTTTTTAAAATGTTTAACAATGTATAATGTGTCTTACACTACTGTCCTTCTGGAACTAGTTTTCCAAATGAATTAATTCATCTGGGCTGTTAACGTAAGTGTGGAACACCTTTTTGTTTTGCTATAGTGTAGATTGTGCTTGGATATCAAGATTTTTCTTTAAAATTATGCATGGGCGAAATTAACTATGATAGACTTAGTATAATTTAGAGGAAAATCAAAAAAACTACAACTATGTTCTGACTGAAACATTTTCTTGCAGTTACATCCATTAAAGCCTTTGGTAACTTGAGTCGTTAGATCATCAGAAGTTTTAAATGCTGACGTTCTATATAGTGTTATTTTAAAACAAGTCAGCTTTCATTGTGTTAACAAACAGCACAGAAGATAGCTGACTCAAAATTGCTTCAATGCAACTAAATGAAGACCCCTAATTAGTCAACCAAATATAATTTTGTCCACCGAGAAAAGTATTAAACAGACTAGTACTTGTTTTAGGAAGCGTTCAAATGTTCTATATCTGATCTAACAAGTTCCATGTCTAAGGGAGGTGGCTTAGTGAATCCCCAACAGAACTTTAGCTTTGTTGAGATTTCATTCTTTCCTATTTCAGCTTCCTTTAAAAGAATGAATTATACCATGGGCTTCAAAAGAAGCATTACTTACGATTCATCAACGGATTAGAGAAATGAAGGTAGACTTGCTGACTAGGTTGTAATACAGATTGCAAAGAAGCTTGTAACGGGTTAGAAGCAAGCAAGCAAGTACTAAATGAAGCAAGAAATCCTAAAGAATGTGTGTGGAAAGATCATTGTGAGTTTGGAGAAAGCGAGACATACTTTCTAGAGAAGCTGATCAAAAGACCTTAGATTAAATTGTCTGAGATGTCAGACTGAAGTCTGACAAAACATTATCTCCCTCCAGGTGGCAGACTTGTCTGTTTTTGGAAGGAATAGGCAATAATAATTAAATTTGCCTTTTCTAGGATCATTTCAACAGTTTGGACACTGGTCGGTTTACTGTGAAATAAACACTTAAGATTTTAATTTATCAGCACAAGAGTGAAGGGAACCTATATTTTGTGCAGTAAGATGGGGTCTTGTGCTTAAACTGTAGTCATGTAACATGGACTAATGAACAATATATATAGCATGTCAATATTTTTACCTGTTTCTTACAAGTAATATTGAAGATCACTATTAATGGGAAGCTAAGGAAGCTTTTCTGCAAAGCATTTAACAGCAGTTTGCTGATAGTTTCCTTTTCTTGCCCTTTACTATGGGTCTTTCATACAGCAACAGAGAAAAAATATTTAAATATAAGAATATGTAAAATGACAATTATGAGAGAAGTGTGGGGCAAGATGTAATAATGAAAGTATTTATTTTTACAATTGACTAGACGTCCTTAGAGACTGATTTTAATAATGCATATTAAATCTTCAAAAATAATATGCACACTAGCCTATTGAGGGTTAAACAGTACTTTTTTGTTACTTGAATCTTTGTATTATTATCTAGTTGTGCTAATGGTGGACTGTAATACATTGCAGATGATCATGGAGGTAGCTAACTAGCTGAATAAGTTTCAACTTGACTATTAGTGCAGAACAGATGTTGAATAGATGCGAACGGGGGCTGTTAACAGGGAGTCTGGAGAGGGGGTTCTCCAGATAAAGGAGGAAGCTAATACAGGACCCTTGAGGGAAGTGGCTGTCTGTAGTGTGTGTTTGTGTTTGGGCTTTTCTTGCTATGTGCTGTGTTTGGCTGTTTGGTTTTTGTTTTTTTTTCCCCTCCTTTTCCTCCCCCCTCCCCTCATGGAGTGTGTGCTGTGGCTGGCAGGTAGAAGCTGTGAGCTAATCAGGGTTTGAAATCTAGAAGCCTCTGCTCATTGGTTGATCCTTAGCCCCTCCCCCTGATTATCAGGCAGTCCAGGACTTTATAAAGGAGTGAGTCAGCGAACAGGGGCTGTTAACAGGGAGTTTGGAGAGGGAGTGGGAAGGGGGTGAGATACTTTCTCCATTCTTTAAAATCTTTGCACTACACTCCTGCCTTTCAAGAGGCATTTAATAAAAACTGAGGAATCTCTCAGAAGGAAGGCAGGTATGGATGGTGATAGGTCTGCTGTTGTTACCTGCACAGCATGTGCCATGTTTAAATCCCTTTTTTCTTCCGGGAGGTAGAGAATCTGCACTAAGTGCAAGCTAGTCACCATTTTGGAAGAGAAAATTAGAGAACTTGAGGCCCAAGTATTGATGCTAGTTTCTATCAGAAAGGATGAAGACTTCCTCGATAGAAGGCAGCATTTAATCCTGCAGGCACAGCAGACTGAAGAGCCAGTCAGGGAAGTACAGGACAAGGAAGAAAACTGTCAGTATGTAACCTCTAGAAGGAGAAGACAGCCAACTCAGGTATCCCCCATTCCTGTAGAGATAAGTAACTGCTATCAGGCTCTCTCCACAGGCACTGCGGTGGAGAACGCTTTGGCAGGGACCTCTCAGGGAAGAAATCAGAAGGGAACACCATCTACCAGAAAGGCATGGGATGCGTAGCCGTATGGGGATTCCACGACCACCATCCACAAAAGAAGACGACAGGTGGTGGTGGTCGAGGACTCCCTCCTAAGAGGGACTGAGTCATCCACCTGCCATCCAGACCTGCAATCTCGAAAAGTGTGCTGCTTACCAGGAGCTCGCATTCAGGATGTGACTGTCTTCAGAACACTGAGTCATCCACCTGCCATCCAGACCTGCAATCTCGAAAAGTGTGCTGCTTACCAGGAGCTCGCATTCAGGATGTGACTGAGTGTCTTCAGAACGTGATTAAACATTCAGATTGCTACCCCTTCCTGCTTCTCCATGTAGGAACTAATCATATGGCCAAGAATGACCTTGAGCGGGTCAGCACAGATAATGTAGTGCTAGGAAGGAAGGATCAAGGAATTTGAAGCGCAAGTAGTGTTCTCGTCCATCCTTCTGTTTGAAGGAAAAGGTCTGGGGTAGGAATCGTCAAATTGAGGAAGTAAATGCGTGGTTGTGCAGGTGGTATCGGAGAGAGAGCTTTGGTTTCTTCGACCATGGGACTCTGTTCCGGGCACAAGGATTGTTAGGAAGAGATGGGATCCACTTAACCAAGAGAGGAAAGAACATCTTATTGAGCAGGCTTGCAAAACCTAATGAGGGCTTTAAACTAGGTTCCTTGGGGGACAGTGACCAAAGCCCTGACATAAGTGAGGAAGTTGGACACTGGGAAGAATCACAAGGAGGAACGAGCAACAAAGGAGGACCCCTGAATCGGATGGAGAAGGCATGGCAATTAACTGGTTATCTAAGGTATTTGTACAAAAATGCGAGAAACCTAGGAAAAGAACAGGAAGAATTAGAAGCCCTGGCCCAGTCGAAGAATTATGATTTGATTGGAATAACAGAGATTTGGTGGGATGACTCTCACGACTGGAGCACTGTCATGGAAGGGTATAAACTCTCCTGGAAGAACAGGCCGGGGAGAAAAAGAGGAGTTGCATTGTATGTAAGAGATCAATATGATTGCTCGGAGCTCCAGTAACATGGAGGGAGAAAAGCCTGTTGAGAGTCTATGGGTTAAGTTTAAAGGTGGATGCAACAGGGGTGATGATGTGGTTGGTGTCTGCTGTAGACCACCAGATCAGGTGGATGAGGTAGATGAGGCTTTCTTTGGACAACTGAGAAGTTACCAGATCTCAGGCCCTGGCGACTTTAATCACCCTGATATCTGTTGGGAGACCAATACACAGACAATCCAGGAAGTTTTTGGAGAATGTTGGGGATAACTTCTTGGTGCAAGTGCTGAAGGAACCGACCAGGGGCCATGCGCAGCTTGACCTGCTGCTCACAAACAAGGAAGTAGGGGAAGTAGAGGTGAGTGACAAACTGGGAAGCAGTGCTCGTGAGATGGTAGATTTCAGGATCCTGACCAAAGGAAGAAAGGAGAGTAGCAAAATGCAAACCCTGGACTTCAGAAAAGCAGCCTTTGACTTCCTCTGAGAACTGCTGGGCAGGATTCCCTGGGATGCTTACATGAAGGGGAAAAAAGTCCAGGAGAGCTAGCAGTATTTTAAAGGCACAGGAAGGAACCATCCCGATGCGCAGCAAGAAAAGCAAATATGGTAGGTGACCAGATTGGCTTACCGGGGACATCCTTGGTGAGCTTAAACACAAAAAGGAAGCTTACAAGAAGTGGAAGCTTGGACAGATGACGAGGGAGGAGTATAAATATGTTGCTTGAGAATGCAGAGGAGTTATCAGGAAGGTGAAAGTGCAATTGGAATTGCAGCTAGCAAGGGATATAAAGGGCAACAAGAAAGGTTTCTACAGGCATGTTAGCAATAAGAGGGTGGTGAGAGAGGGTGTGGAGCCCTTACTGGATGAGGGAGGTAACCTAGTGACAGATGTGGGAAAAGCTGAAGTACTCAATGCTTTCTTTGCCTCTGTCTTCACGGACAAGGTCAGTTCCCAGACAAATGCACTAGGCAACACAGAATGGGAAGGAGGTAGACAGCCCTTGGTGGGAAAAGTACAAGTTAGGAACTATTTAGAAAAGCTAAACATACACAAATCCATGGGCCCAGATTTAAT